AAAAAAAAAAGCTGAGGCTAGAGTTGCCAGAGTAAAAGCCACCACCACCACTCTCGTACCTGCGCTATAAGAAGGGATTCAGTCACGGCAACGCCACAGTGACGCGGCTCCTGTGGTGACAACATACCTCTTCTCGCAGTGGGGCCAAGCTGCCGCATCGCTGCCTCCTCGCTCTCCCACAGCTCTGCCCTTCCACGCGGGCACCTGAGCAGCAAGGCAGACCCACCAGGAGCATTTAAAAAAGCAATTCCTTTTTTGCTGTGGGAAAGCAGCAGCATTTAGCCAAAAAAAAAAAAAAAGCCGAGCAGCAAACCAAGCCAAGCTGCTCCTCTGCAGCAGAGGGTGCCTTGCTCCCTGAGCAGCGCAGGCGTCGCGCAGGGCACCCGCAGCAGCTCCACTAGGCTCTGGCCTGGGCACGAGGGGGGAGCTGGGATTCACAAACCAGTGCCACCATCGCCTGCAAAGAGTGGACGAGCAGACGATCGGTGTCGGACTTGATCATAATCCCTACGTGCCCGAGCTGGCTACAGCAGTCGGCCTCTTGGCGGACCAAGCACCCAGGTATTAAATCACATGTCCAAACTCAGTAATGCTCGCTTAGTGCCAGATCGCCTCTCTGGATGCAAACGGAGAACAGCAGTCCAGGGAGGAGCTCTGGCCCTTGCTGCAGCAATAGGAAAGTCCCTAAACACCAGCGCAGAGGGGATTTACCGCCTTTGGATTTGTTCTATCAGCCATTCAACAGTGTTTCATACAGGCCCCAATGCACACCCACCCACACAGGCCCTCCACTATCTGCAGCCACACTCATCCACCACCATGTCCTCATAGTGCCTCAGCACCACGTTGTCATTGTTATCGTAGTAGAGGATGGAGATGGGGGACAGCCTGACGGGGACACAGCAAGGCTGGGGGGTACCCTCGGGGTCCAGCGAGTGCACCATGGTTTGGAGGATGGCATGGTTGGTGCTGTTCAGCTCAGCAGTCAGCGGGAAGGGACACTCTCCAAGGCAGTAATTAGCCAGGTAGCCCTGGGGGGCGATGATCCAGTTCTCCCAGCCAACGTCGCTGAAGCTGATGTAGAGCCGCCTGGGCTTGCAGAGGTTGCTTGGTGTGACAGGGGTGTAGTAAGCGCTTCTCTTCCTCCGGGAGGCCTTGCATTGCTGCTGACTGAGGGTCACCACCAGGAGAGAGGTATCCAGGAAGGAGTCGATGCTGGCACAGAGGCTCTGCAGCCCCTTGCTCGCCAGGGCTGATGCACCATCTCTGCCGCCCACCGAGATCTCCAAGATCAAGCCCAGATTCTTGCTGTAAGTTCGCCAGTCCTTTGCCACCCCGCTCAGGTTGAAGAGAAGAGACTTGTGCAGCTGGGCGAAGGACTGCTCTACCAGCAGCTTTTGGCTGTACTCGTGGGAGGGCATCTCCCGCAGGGACATCTGGGAGGTTTGGTACAGCCTCAACTCAAAGACCTGGCCCTGGCTGGAGGTGTGGTAGGAGTTGTGGCTGAATTTGATCTCTAGCTGAGCCATCGTCAAGCGCTCGCCCTCCTCAAGCACAGAGAGATTAAAGTACAGACGCTTCTGCAGGCACAGCAATGTCTGGGGCTGCCTGTTATGAATGAAGTGGCCTGACAAAGAAGGAAAAATAGAGGTGGTGGTGGTGTTTGAATCCCATTACGCTGAGCGGGATCAGCCTCCCAGGGCTCCAAGCTAAGCTCTTGGCTGCACAGCAAGAGGAAGATGGGACTGGACAGAGCTGGGCATCCAAACGCGCCTGCAGCTGTTGGACCAAGATGACAATGTCGCAGCGTGGACTATCCACTCAATGGCACAGCCTTCAGAGAGGCCTGGAGGCACGCTGCTAGTCCAGGCTCTAGCCTGTGTCACCGAGATGCTAAAGTAATACTAGCACAGCTTCGCCTCTTGCTGCTGCAATCACAGCCTCGCAGACAGGGCAGTAATACTCCTCCAGAAACTACTTAACATCTTGGCGCATTATTTTTCCCCCAGTAAATATCTCCTCCCCAGGACAGGGTGGATTTGGGGGTACCTGCCATTTGGGATGGGGTGGAAAGAAAGGCAAATAGCAGCAAAGAGAAGAGAAAGGTAAGCAGCCCTTTTAAGTCAGACCTAAAATTCCATTGGAAACCTTGAATCACAAGTGAGGTGAGCTCAGTCTCTAGACACAGAGGACACTGACCAAACAGTTCCCACATAACCGGGAATGGCTTAGAGATGCCACAGGCTGAAACAGCCAGATACGCCACGTGGTCAGTCAGGGGCATGAGGACAAAAAGGATGAGGGGGCACAGCTGAGCAGCTCCATCCCCATCCAAAGCCGAGTGCCTGGGTGATCCCAGTTCTCCTCGCTGCACCCACACAGTCCTGGCGGATGGAGCAGCTGCGTTACCAGCGCCCCGGGGAGGAGTCACAGCTCCGCCACTGCAAGCCAGAAACCAAACCGGTCACCTAGGATTAAACCAACATCTCTGAACTGCATTAGGTGACTCCCAGCTGGCCAGGTGCCTTGCACAGCTCTGCACACACTTCCTTGCCTACCGACTCATTTCTAAATTGGAAATAAGCATCTACAGCATCCCAAGGGACTGGAGTTAACACATCAATGATTTCTCTTGGGGACCAATTCTGGCCACTGCCCTGTTGTCCCCCAGCCTCTCTCCTACCTACACGCCACAGGTAGGAAAGGAAGGACTGGAGCAATAGCTCCCAGTGCAGAGAGTAGAGGGGCTTCCAAAGGCAAGACCTAAATCATGGCATTTCTGTACCTTGGTCAGCGAAGACACGGATGATGTTTCCAGGGACATTAAATTCCTCCACCCTACAAGCATCCTCCAGGCCTTTGTTTGTAGAAGGAGATGTCTTTCTGTTCTGGAAGATCCGCCAGAGCACAGATGGCACAGGAACAGGGGTTTTGGGGCTGGGTTTGGTGCTCAGACCCAGGGATTTTAACAGTAAACTTTCCTGCAAACTTAAATCCATCCCCAGAATCACACTAAGGAGAGCCCAGGCAAGGCCAGCTCTGAAGCTGGCACATACAGAGAGAGGCCACATTGCTCAGCTTTCCTTCCCGGTAGACAAAGAGCAGAGCTGTGCTGGGGACCAGCTCTCGAGGGGACTGAAGACAGGGGCTAGGGGGGTGTTGATTACCTGATTGGAGCCTTTGATCTGATTAGTGCTCAATTAGCACAGAGGGATTCCCAGGATTGGGCAGAGGGTGTGAACAGCCCCTCCAGCCTCCTGGGGCCTGTTAACCCTTTGAGGCTGCTGTGTGCGTGTTGGAGGGCAGGTCCCCCTCCTCCCGCAGAGCTCTTACAGTCTCTACCTCATCTCAACACCATCAAGGTCCAACAAAGTCCCTGTTGACGGGAAAAAGGCTGTTCTCCTTCCATATACAAAGCTGCCAGCAACTTGAGCACTGGTCCCAGTGCCCTAGGGAGAAAGGTGGACCTTATGGACATCCCACTGAGATAGATCCACAGGGAGTCGCTTTGATCAGGGTCTCGCTGCCACCCCCCAAATCAGCTTTTTCAAACCTGTTATTTGCATCCCAGCATCTGACACTTCTCTCTAAATGCTGACAACTTCCAGCGCTTCAAATCTTCATACTCTCCTCTTCAGCTCGCTCCCTCACATGCCGCCTTGCCCAAAAGACAGGCAGCCCTGGGGCCAGCCCCTATTGTGCAGAAAGCCATCAGCACACAAACCCCCCGCACAGGATCCCCCGGTCCAGCTGCTCTGGCAGAGGAGCTGCAACAAGCCCCAGGGCCTCCCGGTTTGCACGGTCCCTTTCTAGTCATCACAGCAAACCTGATGGCAGCACATCTGCTGTTACACACGCACACATTCACACGCATTGCTGTCCAAGGAGTTACTCAGTCTGGGCAAGCCGATAACGGGAAATTCAGTTTACCCATACACGTGCTGACTAGCTACCGCTGTCACCCCAACTTGGCACCATCGCTGCCCCTACTCTGCTATGATTGAGCAGAAAGAAGCCTGGGGATATTAGCTTCCACGTCCCTCACGCTACAAATCCATCTTGAGAGTCAAAGAACTAAAACACTGAGATAGCCGAACATTGCAGGTACCCCTCTGAAACCCTGCTATGGGGTTACAAGTAAGAAGGTGACAGATCCTGTCACAGTTTGGGATGGTTTCCATCAGTCAAAGTGACACTTTGATTTTTGTTTATCAAAAAACTTTCTCTGTGGCTCACATAATGGGCCTGGAGTCAAATCAACATGAGAGACAAAACAGAAAAACAATTAACCACCCTCTGATGCTTGGAATTAATGCCATGAATTCCCCCTCATGGCCTATTGTCCCTGCTTGGGAGGGACCTCTGCTTCCCAGGGAGCACACAGGAGCTGTGGGTACTGGTCCTGCAAGAGGAAAGCAATGGGGTGAGCTCAGTCTGAGGGGCTGTAAAATCCACGGGGCTTCCCAGCTAAACAGCACACCACCTGGCTCAGCCTCAGGGACCCTGCAAGGCTCAGGGCTGGCACTGCCTGGAAAACCAACCAACGTAGCGGAGACTCCTTGTTCTTTACTTTAGCAAGCAGAAATTGCTGAGCGAGAGTCTGGAGTCCCCTCGTCAGGGGGCCCTGCAGGATGTGTTCCTAGGACTGGCTTTTTAAGCAAATATAAGACTAACACAAGCATTTTAAGCAAATTAATGTCCCAGCCTTCATCCTGGAGGGCAGGAGGCTGGAATAACGTGCCAGGACTGGGTTTCCAGGCAGGGACCTGCACGTGGGAATTGTGCCATGCACTGTGGCCTCCAGATATATGTGGGTAGCTCTGTATCAGTGACCCCTCACGAGCTGTGAGGCTCCAAGGTGAACTGCATCACATCTCCTTTAGTCCCAGCTTAGCAGCTAGAGCAGAGCTGGCTTTGGGCTCCCCTTGCCTGGGATGGTGTTGCCAACAAAGGGGAGGACATTTTCCTCCCCAGTTTGAAGGTGGGTCAAAGGACCCTTCAGGGCTGCTGAGACAGGGTCCGTGGGGAAATCCAACAAAGATGGGGGATATCACAAAGGGACTGAGAATAGCTGAGGGATGGGGTGGAAGAGGAAACGCCAGGGGACCTAAAGCCAGCTCCAAATCCTACCTGGACCACGTTAGCAAAGCCATCAGCCTCCCAGCTGAACCAGCACCAACTGGTTACAAAAAGCACATCAGCATCAGGCGAAGCCTGGTCACAGGCAAGCCCCAGGAGGGGCCTGTTACTGTCAGTGGCATCTCTTCCCCGGCTCCAGGCAGGGGACGAAGGGGTATCAGGGGCATGTTCTCCTTGTGCCTTTCATTTGCTGGGTTTGAGTGAGGGTCCTGGGTCAGTCTCCAGATCCAGCCAGGCTGCCCAGGCTGCAGCAACTGCGCTTTCCTTACAACCGCTTGTCTTTTATAAGTCCGTTCTTCAGGTGCATCCTGTGAAAGACAGCACAGCAGAAAATGAGCCTTGGTCTCTGAACTGATTCTCCTTTTGTTACTTTCACAAACTACTACTGAAGTCAGATCTGTCCCGACAGGTTCATGCAGATGATTTGAGCCTGGTCCCCAGCCAGCCACATCTGCCTGTGGGTTCCAGCATCTCGCCAGACTTTGTGCCCATCACATCAAACGCAGATGCTGCTCAGAGAGAGCAGCCCCCAGTAATGCACAACAGCCAGTCCTATACTGTGAGCAGGGGAAGGGATGGGTAAGGGTTCATTGAACAGAAAAATAGATGGACACACCAGAATGCCTAAGGATGGAGAGATACAAAGTTCTTCCGGATCCCTGCAACAATTGTTTACGCTCTGTGTCAAAGGATCCTGCTCTTGTGTTTTCCAGCCCAGTGTTGGGTCCTTTGACAGCTGCTCATGGGCCTCACAGGTCTGGCAGCACCCTTTCCCCCAGCCCATGGGTGCTGTACGTGCTTCCTCTCCCCCACGCACCCTTCTTTCAGAGCACTGGGCAGCTGGAGTTCACCCTCTTTCTTCTTGGTCATTACTGTTTTCTTGCTGTCTTCCACGTCGTACTCACGCATATCATTCACCTCTTGCATCTGCCCTGTCAGCACCTTGGCCACAAACAGGATGATGTACTATGGGGGGAGAGAGAACATCAGTCACAGCCCTCCAGGCCCAGAGCCATTCCACTAACCTGCTCGCTCCCATTTGCTAATCAGGGCCTTTCTTTGCTGTCCTCAACCCCAAAAATGACAGCTCCCTTACAGACTGGCAACCTTTGGCACCCATGGGTGCAAAGAGGTGTCACCTCCTGCCCTGAGATGTGGCTGACAACTCACAGCAGCGGAAGGAAGCACAAGATATGTCCATCCCTGCAAGGGGCAGGAGTGCAAGGCAGGATAAAGGCTATTCCACATCTATTTAGCAGGAGGAAGAGTTCCCTCTTAGCCTCTCTGAGGCTCTTTATCCTCAAATCTTTTTCCTAGAGAGGCAGCTTTTCTTTTCAGCAAAAGATCTCCACTTCAACTTGAGGCAGAGGTGGCTACAAGACTTGGGGCTAACAAGGGGGACAGAGGGACAGGGCCAAGCACGCAGCCAGGGCTGGACTGAGCCAGACGGGAACTAAATAGCACAAGCTGCTGCAACTACCCTTAGTCGATTTACTCCCTGCAGGCTGATGAACTCAGATGTCACCCAGCTCTGCCTGGAGTTGAGCTTGCTGGTGTGAACCCTGCAAGTCCACCCTTCTCATCCTTCTCCCCAGAGCTTTGGGGGATGCCAGCACATTTACGCCCTTATCAGGTTCCAGCCTACCCTGACTGAAGGAATCCCCCTGGGGACGGCACTGCTGACTGCTGTTGTCACTCCCTTCTCGTGGATCCCCGGGGTGCGAGACAGTTGGAATTCCAGCCCAGAGGAACCCCTCCGGGCACTGACACTGGTTTCCCTTCTCTCCCCTCAACCCACCCCCAGTCCTCCCAGACCTCCTCCCTCCCAGCACAGTCTCCCCAGCTGTCCCCAGGACAGGCAGGCAGCAGGCACTGTGCAGGAACAGCTGAGGAGGGCAGAAGTTAGCGTAGGGGTTGCTGAACACCTCTGCACTCACCAGAAACCAGTAGATGTTCATCAGAGTGAGGATGAAGAGCAGAGCATTGAAGAAGAAGTAGAAGGGGATGTTAGGGACCGACTGGAGGCTGGAGTGGCAGGTGGCATAGAGCACCTTGAGGGGGAACCAGTAGAGACGGAACCAGAACCTGCCAGGGCAGAGAGAGCACAGTGGGTTTAACGGCCCACGGAGATCCCTGGGGAGGCATGGGACCCAGCGTGGCATCCCCCAGGCACAACCTCGCGTCTCTGGGCAACCCTTGCCAGCTCTCCTTGCATCTGGCAGTCCCTGCTCTTGGCATCTGACTCGGGTTTGAAGGCCCGGTTCTAGACAGGACTTTGTACAGGCCCTGTGAAAGGGTAGCTAATGAAGGGAGAATACCATTACTAATGGGAAGAAAAGACTTGGCACCAGAGGCAGGACAGAGAAAGGGCCTTCTCAGAATAGAGAGGCAGGTTTACAATGCAGAGATTATCTCAACTGGAGGGGGGGCAGCAGAGAAACATAGCTGGAAGGCCTTCTTAGCCCTCCACATCCCTAGTCTATCATGACAAGCCTTCCTTGCTCTCCTCCCCCTCAAATCTGTGGTTCTCATTGCTTTTCAGAGCAGGCTGCAGAGAAGGAAGGAGGATACAAAGGGACACATCAGGAGTGACAACCTGCGAGTTACTCATCCCTGTTCTTCATCTGTCTCTCTAGCCTTCCCCCAAGAGGGACAGCAAGGCTGGAATCTGGGACAGAATCACGTCCTGTTTCCTTCTTGCAAAAATGCTTTTTACTGCTAAAACCAAACGAGTGGGAAAATGGAAACAGCTCCTCCTCCCCTGGGGTCATTTGTCATGCTGCAAGCGAGATTTCACAGGCACTTCTGTGGTGACAGACGGCAAAGTGACTACAGAAGGATTCCAAGCCCAGCATGGGGTCAGGCACTGCAGGAACCTCTTCCCAAACAGTTTATAGAAACGGCTTGTTCCCATGCACACAAAACCAGCAGGCTGTACCCCGGGGCACCAGGG